TGAGAGCCCGCGCCCGCGGGATGTCCCCGCAGGTACATCCGCCCGTCCATGCTGCAGCACCTGCTGCGGCGCCTGGTGTTCGACGTGCCCATTCTCAACGAGTTCGCCAAGATGCCCCTCAAGGTGAGCGCAGGCGCTCTGTAGCGCGCTTATTTCCGTGCCCCGCCCACCCGGTGCTCCGCCCTCGGACTGGGGGGCTCATTTCTGTCAGCACCCCCAGGCCAGTTAAATTGCAAATGTGAAGCCATTCTGTAGCATTCTTGTTTGCCTACCGGGGTTCCCAGAATATTCGCTTTGCGTCATTGGTGCCTCTAACACTCTCTAATTAATGTTTAATTTGCTTAACAGTGAGCCAGCCGGCACATATATTAGCATATATTTGCATGGGGCACACCACTTTCCCTAAGTGGCATGCTTGTTTTCATGCCCAGACCACCAGCCTTCTACTATTCAAATGAGTACATTTATTTTAATAAACAGTACCACAGCTATTCTGAATATTTGCACACTGTCTCTCCTGTTACTTTTTTTAATTTGCAAGCTAGTTTTCCTAAAGAGATATTTCCAACTCAGATATCTTGACTATTTTGCATCTAAATCAGCCCCTATTTCAAATTTACATGTTGGATACGGAGGCCCTCTTCCCAATTACCATATATCTGTATGGAGTGCTGCTAATGTTTCTATTTGGCATGATAATTTACATAAGAGCAAACCACTGCATCCACATGTCTGTTTACTCACAACCCTACTCATGGATTGCTTGTGTAAAGCAACACCAGACAAATCCAGCTCCGGTTTAATGCCCATCCTGACTCTAAATTAGAATTGCTAAATTTGCATATTAAACTGTTCAGGACCCCTCCCCAATAAGAATACCATTCCCCTCATTAGCTCCATTTGCATAACCCACACCTCCTTTATAATGTAAAAGCACTGGCAGCCCTGGGCCTCCCATGACTTTCATTTGCCTGCCACCTGCTTTTGTCCCCTCATTTGTGTGTCCCCCTTATTCCCACCCAGCTCCTCACCAACCACTATGAGCGCTGTTGGAAGTACTACTGCCTGCCCACCGGCTGGGCCAACTTCGGCATCACCTCAGAGGAAGAGCTGCACCTCACAAGGAAACTCTTCTGGGGCATCTTTGATTCGCTGGCACACAAGGTCTGAGCACCCAGGAACCCTGAATGAAAGCTCTTTGGAGGGGGTGGGGTCCGAAGTCAAGAATCAGAATGAAATCCCTAAATGTGGGGTTCAGGGAGGAAGGCAGTTTGAATCCAAGAGAATCCATGAGTTGGACCTCTGGTTTGTGTGTCATGGAAGATGGGATGAGCCTCTCATTTGGGGACCTGGAGAAGGTAACAGGATAGTTTGAAGGTCCAGATGGGACTGAGGTTTGGGTTTCAGGAAGAGAGACTATAATTCATGTTTGTGGGTGCAGGGAGGGGGGTGGCTGATGGGAGGGGTAAATTTGAGGTCATTGGGCTCCAGGGACTGCAGGCTCAGCCAGGCCTGCAGTGACACCCCTGTCCCTGGCATCCCCAGAAATATGACCCAGAGCTGTACCGCATAGCTATGCCTTGTCTGTGCGCCATCGCAGGGGCCCTGCCCCCTGACTACGTGGATGCCTCTTACTCGTCCAAGGCTGAGAAAAAGGCCACAGTGGATGCTGAAGGCAACTTTGATCCTCGGCCTGTGGAGACCCTCAAGTAAGACCTAGAGGCAGGAGAGGGTGGGGCCTGGGGGCAGAGAGAAGTAGAATGTGACTGTCAGAGATGGAAGGAAGGGCCAGCCCCACCATCTGCTGACCCTGTGCCCCCTAATAGTGTGATCATCCCAGAGAAGCTGGACTCCTTCATTAACAAGTTCGCGGAGTACACACATGAGAAGTGGGCCTTCGACAAGGTTGGCCTCAGGGTCCTCCCCTCCCCAGGAACTCCTAGCCCTGCCTCAAAACCCTAGCTTTCCTGAGACCCTTAACTCTTCCTGAGACCCACAGCCTCCTCTGGAGCCCTCAGCCCCTCCAGGGTTCCCTCTCTGTGTTCCCCCAGCTGCTGTCTACCCCTCATCCTGCCCCCACCCTCAGCTCTGTGGTAACACTGCCTCCCCCCACCCCTTTTCACCTCCAGATCCAGAACAACTGGTCCTATGGGGAGAACGCAGATGAGGAACTGAAGACCCACCCCATGCTGAGGCCCTATAAGACCTTTTCGGAGAAGGTGACCAGGCCTTGGGGGCCAGTGGCAGGGTTCTGAAATGAAACCTCCAAATTTGGGGCTTCAGGGAGGAGTGAGTCTGCTTCACGGGCTTGTATCTAGTTAGATCCCCCTCCATGGACTATGCCTTTTCCTTGAACTTGGTTGCCTCCCCCAAACCCAGGACTCCTAGTGTTCCTTCTGGAAGAGCCAGAGAGCCTGGGTTTGATTCCTTGACCATACTTAACTTCTCCGAGTCTCGTGTGTAAGATGGGACATTGAGAGTTTGTTCGGGAAGCTCTGTTACAGAGCAGGGGAGAGACCTAGGTTCGAATTCTACTGGCCCACTTCCTAGCCATGTGCTAGGGGCTTCCCCCTTCTTGGGATCCTGGAAGCCAGGAAAGCTGAGCCAGGATCTCCTACCTCCACCTTCCTCTCACCTCATTCCACCAACTCCCCTTTCTCCTGTCTACCCCAGGACAAAGAGATCTACCGCTGGCCCATCAAAGAGTCCTTAAAGGCCATGATTGCCTGGGAATGGACCATAGAGAAGGCCAGGGAGGGTGAGGAGGAGAAGACGGAGAAGAAAAAAACGCGGAAGATCTCCCAAAGTGCTCAGGTGGGGGCAGGGTCATGGGGTGGGAGCGGCTGGAATAGGTCCAGGGAGGAGGTGGGATGAGGGCTGGAGGAAGGCCAGCAGCGGGGTGCCGGAGAAGGCCCAGGAAGGGAGAGGGCAGAGGAAAGAGGAGGGGTGGCTTAGAGGCAGGGCCTTAAGGAGAGGGTGCAGAGCAGGGGCCTAGGGCCAGGTGAGGGGGGTAGACTGGCTCCTGGCCTGGGCTTCCTGCTAACCCATCAACCCCCCCATCTCTCCCTTGCCCTCCCAGACCTATGATCCAAGAGAAGGCTACAACCCCCAACCGCCCGACCTCAGCGGAGTTACCCTGTCCCGGGAGCTGCAGGTGAGACCCCTGACCTTTTATTTGGGGGGCGTGGAGGTGTCTGTTGGGGTGGGGAGGACATCTTCTGAGTCTGGGCCTTGACTCTCCGCATCCACTCCCAGGCCATGGCCGAACAGCTGGCAGAAAATTACCACAACACATGGGGGCGAAAGAAGAAGCTGGAGCTGGAGGCCAAGGGTGAGGGTGCCCGTCCCACTCCCGCCCAGGTCCCCCTTCTCCGCCGCCTCCTAGTCATAGGCTCTGGAATCATAAGGGCTTATGTTACAGTTGTGTGACTTTCACCTTCCACAATTGCTTTCATCCCCTTGAACCTCTGTGTCTGCTTTGGTATGGTGGGAGTAATGGCGTTTACTACCATAGGGCTGTGGTGAGCATGGGACGAGCATCCTAAAGCAATGTTTTGGTTATTTTAACTCTGTCTTTATTACAATAATCACATAAGCCTTCAACTGCAGGAACCACTTCAATGAGAGTGGCCTGGGTCCCTCCCAGCCCCCTGATTTCTGATCTTTGCCACCCCAGGTGGTGGGACCCACCCCCTGCTGGTTCCCTACGACACGCTCACTGCCAAGGAGAAGGCACGAGATCGAGAGAAGGCCCAGGAGCTGCTGAAGTTCCTGCAGATGAACGGCTATGCGGTCACCAGGTACTTGTTCAGGGAGCTGGACCTGGGAGCAGTGGGGAAGAGGGGCAGGACTCACCAGGCAGCAGCTGGGGGAACTGAGGCCAGTGTAGGGAAGGCAGGGCCAAAGAAGGGAGGAGGCTAAGAGGGTGGGGTCTGGAGAGAAGGGGTAAAGAGGCAGGCCCACTCCAGGGAGGAGCTGGGAACTCGGGCGAACAGAGTTGGAGCTAGAGAAGGATGGGAACAGGGTGTTCTGCGTCTGGGCCAACCCTTCCCTCCACCTGTCCATGCAGGGGCCTTAAGGACATGGAGCTGGATACATCTTCCATTGAGAAACGGTTCGCCTTTGGCTTCCTGCAGCAGTTGCTGCGCTGGATGGACATTTCCCAGGAGTTTATCGCCCACCTGGGTACAGAGAAGTCCCTCCCTGCTGCCCACCCTGCCTGGGACCCCAGTCATGCATGTCTCCTTCCTCCCTCATCTAATTGCTGTGCCAGACAGTGTTCCAGGTGTTGGAAATAAGCAGAGAACAAGACAGACAAAGACCCCTGCCCTGGATTCCGACAATTAACGTCAGAAATAACTAAATCTCTGCACTTGTTGGAAGGTGGTTAGTGTTATGGGGAGAAGACTACACTAGAGCCAGCTAAGGATTGTGGGGAGGGGAGCATTCCAGAAGACCTTGATGGACAGAGGAGGGAGCCGTGTGGACATAGGGGGAGGGTATTCCAGGCAGAGGAACAGCCAGTGCAAAGGCCCTGAGAGGTCCCTGCTACGAATACTATGCCCATTTGGCTGCAGCAGAGTGGCTGAGGGGGAGAGTGAGAGGAAATGGGGTCAGAGAGGTGACAAGGCAGCCTCTGGAGTGGTTTCTAAACCTATATAGAGCTCACATTTATTTCAAAGTTTCACGTTGGAAGTGTTCGGGGTCTTTATTTAGAAGTTTGGTGATGCTTTGGTGATGAGAAATATGCCATAGGAACTTAACTCTTGTTTCTATCAATTAGCCTACGGTCAAGTGGGTTTCCTTATACATGGTTTTGCTTGAAGTTGCAGTTTCCAGGAACCTAAGGAGGATGTTAAACGAAAACTTACTGTATACAGACCTCCAAGGTGGGAGGAGATGGTGCGAGGATGTTTCTCATGGTGCCAAAACAGAGCACACACATAATAATTAGAGTCAGCATTTATTATTTTAAGAGTGTTAGTTATTACTGTCACCATCATTATTGTGTTTGAAGTTGATTTCCGTTTTAAAGTTACCAATATTGACTTCTTGTTTCATTTGGTCTATCATTCAGTAATTCCAAATTTACTCAGTGCCAGGTATGGACGTTCAGGAAGAAAAGGGCTGTGATAGGAGAGGAGGGGGACATTCCATGGCCTTGCCCCATCCCAGCTTGCCCTCTTCCCCATTCTTAGCCTCAAGAAGGGTTTGATCAAGGAGTTAGGGCAGCCGATGAAAGGTAGGAGAAAGGGTTTTATCTCAGAGCCAACAAAGTGACTTCATGTCCAGAATTTACCTCCCATCACACCCTAACTCTGCCCCATCATAACACCCTGAGTTCCCTAGCCTTGAACGCACCGTGACCCCTTTTTGCCCCCCGCCACCAGAGGCTGTGGTCAGCAGTGGACGAGTAGAAAAGTCCCCTCATGAACAGGAGATTAAATTCTTTGCCAAGGTGAGAGGTGGGCTCAGAAGCTGGAGGGGGCTGGGAACTGAATGATGGGTTCTCCTCACCCTTCACTCAGTCACACTTATCTCCTCCCCACCCCACCCCCAGATCCTGCTCCCTTTGATCAACCAGTACTTCACCAACCACTGCCTGTATTTCTTGTCCACACCAGCCAAAGTGCTGGGCAGTGGTGGCCACGCCTCCAATAAAGAGAAGGAAATGATCACCAGGTGGGCTACCCTGTGACCTCTGACCCAGTGCCCTGAACTCACAGCACTGTAACCCTGGACCTTATACTCCTATGGTGCACCTTAGGGCCTCTGGCTTGGGTGCTGGGCACTCACCACCTCTGCCTGCTGTCCTGGTGTGCCCAAGACCAAGGGCTTTCCCAGGACATGGGACTGTCATGCAAACAGGTCGCCCAGTCAGAAAGGCAGACCAGCCTCCCCACCCCACCCCCAACATGCCAGCTCTTGCCGGTCACTTTCAAGCTTACTCATCTCTCTGCCCCTCCCTACCCCTCCTGTCTCCTTTTTTTCCTTCCCCATCATCCTACCTCCTCCTGGCTCTGTCTTCTGTCCCTCTCTCCCTGTCCCTGCCTCCTCTAATTGTGTCATCACCGCCCTTGTCCCCTTGGAGTCCTTGTACCCTGCTTCCCCTGTCCTTCTATTTCTTTCTCTATCGTCAGCCTCTTCTGCAAGCTTGCCGCTCTTGTCCGTCACCGAGTCTCTCTCTTTGGTAAGTAACTTTGCTCCCTGAGCTCTTCTTTATCTCCCCCCTCTTCCCTCATCACCAACCCCACCCTGAAGAAACAAGGCCCAGGTTCATGCCTTAATTGGAACAACCTTTACTGTGTTCTTTCCCTGGACTCGACATGGACTAGGTAGACTTGGGGACAGGGCAGTGACTTGGAGAGTCCTGGGCTGTGCCCTCATGGAGCTCCCAGACCAGGGTGGGGGAAACAGACTCATCACCAGAGAGTAGGAGCCTGAGGGGTCAGGGCTTGGATGGGAAGTCTGGGTGGGAATGGACAGAGATCATTTGGGGTGAATGTAGAGGGAGGTACTGTCCTGTAGTCCTTCATCCAAGCTCGTCTTCCTCCCTCAGGGACGGATGCCCCAGCTGTGGTCAACTGTCTTCACATCCTGGCACGCTCCCTGGATGCCAGGTAGGGCTACAGGTCATGGTGCCCATTCCTAGATTTTCCGAAACCTAAACTCTCAGATTCTAGAACTGTGGTGCCCCCACTTCACTCCTAGGACGGTGATGAAGTCAGGCCCCGAGATCGTGAAGGCTGGCCTCCGTTCCTTCTTTGAGAGTGCCTCAGAGGACATTGAGAAGATGGTAGAGAACCTGCGGCTAGGCAAGGTGTCACAGGCACGCACACAGGTGAAGGGTGTGGGCCAGAACCTCACCTACACCACCGTGGCCCTGCTGCCCGTCCTCACCACCCTCTTCCAGCACATCGCCCAGCACCAGTTTGGAGATGATGTCATCTGTAAGGACTCCTGACCCCAAGGGAAGAGGTGGGGGGTGGAGGGTCAGTTCAGCCAACACCACCCATCCCTGTGTGCCAGATAGAATCCTCAAGTGTTTAAGTGTGTATTTATTGAGTGGATTTATTGCCATAAGCAAAGTTTGCGTTCACTAAATTAGTAGGTGATAGAATGAGTTGATTAGGATATGAGTTCAGCAGCTCTAGCCAAAGAGTCTAAATCATCAGTTTAAGCAAGATAGAATTATATTTTTGTCTCATATAACAGTCTATTTGTAAGTGGATCATAATGTCAGGATCCCAGGTTCCCTCCATTTTGTTGCTCTGCCATCTCTGAAATATTGCTTTTACCCACGTGGTCCAAGATAGCACACCATTATATCCTTATTCTAGCCAGTATGAGAGGAGAAAAAGCAAAGAGGAGGGCATCTCAGTTTTTTTAAAGGAACAACCTAGAAGTGGTCCTCATCACTCCTGCTTACATCTATCCCATTGGCCAGAACTTAGCATGTGGCCCATGTTGCTGCAAAGGAGGCTGGGAAAGTAGCCTTTATTCTGGGAGGTCATGTGTAGAGATAAATATTGGAGGTCTATTATTAGAAAGAAGAGAAGTACAGAAAGAAGGTAAGAGCAGGCACTGGGAGTCAATTAGCAGTGTCTGCCATGTTTATTCTACCAAATGGCACCTCACCTGGGATCTTGTGACAGAGTACACACAGTGTGTGACATACTGTCATTAAAAAGACATAGGCAAGATGAAACACCCAATGGGGTGTCAGGATATTGTGTGTTCAGGTACTCAAAAGTACCCTATAAGATGTGGCCTGGACCATGGGGGAGCTGGAGAAGGACAGGAAGGGTTGGCAGGAGAGGTGCTCAGGAGACTGAGGGGACAGGCTGTGGAGGGGAGGTGTTCAGCATGAGGTCCAAGGCCCTGATGTGCAGGCCTTGGCACAGTGGGGCCTCCATGAGACAGACTAGGGAGAGGCTGAGGTCACTTTAGGACTCAATGGTTGTAAGCAGCCTGCAGAAGCCCCAGGGGAGGCATCCAGAATGGACTGTAGGGCTTATGGGCTATGGGGACTGAGGAATAGTAGAGCCATATCCCCTCTCGCTGTTATATTTGAAATTAGAACCTAGTGATAAAAGTAAGAAAAGTAGCACTTGGATGGGGTTTTCCCCCCAGAATTGTTAAGAACTTGACCCATTTGCTTTACCTTTCACTTTATGGGTGAAAGGTTCTGCAGACTTTCCTGAACTTTTGAATGTGAGTTGCACACATAGTGACATCTTATCTCTAAATATTCAGCTCGTGTCTCCTAAGAACTTTCTCTCATGTAACCACTATATCAATATCAGCCCTAACCTGACTATATTTAAATTTCCCTATTACCCTCAAAATGCTTTTGATTTTTTTAAAAAATTCAGAATCCAGTGAAGTTTTTCTCATGGCTTTGTAGTCTCTTTTCAATCTAGAACAGTCCCCCTGCCCTTTTGCCTAGTGACATTTGTGAAGTTGATGAGGTCCTTAGCCTGACCTTCCCAGGAGAATGTGTGGCTAACCTGAAATTGTCAGGATTGCATGCTTGTTTGCATTTTTCTGGAGAGAGTTCCTGTCACTATCATCAAAGAGATCCATGACTCCTCTCCAAGGGGAGGACAACATGAGCCTTTATTGAGTGCCTGCTGTGTGCCTTGTTTTAATTACTTTCCAAGTATTAACTCATTTGATCCTCACAATAACCCCCACGAGGAAGATACTATAGTTATCCCCATTTTACAGATAGGAAAACAGACCAAGAGAGTGATATTTGATCAAGTCACAAAACTAATAAATAGCGGGCAGATCTACAGCCCCTGCTCAGGGCAGGGGGGTTGTGGGCACTGGTATGGTGGGCACATCCTTGACCCCTGTTCTCTCTCTCTCAGTGGATGACGTCCAGGTCTCATGCTACCGAACACTGTGCAGTATCTACTCTCTGGGAACGACCAGAAACTCTTATGTGGAAAAGTAAGAGGAACAACTATAGTTTTTGAGCTGGAGTGGGCACTGTGGGGGCTCAGGGAGGGGAGGATGCAAGAGAAGATGGGGGGAGTGAAAAGTAGGGGAGATGTTCAGTCTTCAACAACAGACACCAGACACCTACGTTGTGGCAGCTGCAGTTCTCCAAGGTGGCCACATGAGGGCACTCAGGGGAAGGCCAACAATGGAAGCCGCGATCCCAGGCGCTGGGGGGTACTTGCTGGCCCTGATGCCAGGTTGTTCTTCGCTGGGGAACAAGATTGCCCGGGAAGGGGCTTGCAGAAACAAGGGTGGCACATAGCCATAGCACACTGGGGGCACTGGGGAGAGCCCTGGCAGTGCCCATGTGGGCTCTCCTGAGCCAGGATCACGAGTGGAACAAGAGGGCCCTGAGGGAAAAGCCACGTCTATGCCCACGGTGAGCGGCAGCTCTGCTCCAAAGGGTTCTGGGGAGAGTCACTTCTGGGGAGGCCAGGGTTGGGACGCAGGTCCAGGTGGAGGAAGACATGGGAGCTAAGGAGCTCCCTCTTCCAGGCTGCGACCAGCCCTTGGGGAGTGTCTGGCCCGCCTGGCAGCGGCCATGCCTGTGGCGTTCCTGGAACCTCAGCTGAACGAGTATAATGCCTACTCAGTGTACACCACCAAGTCTCCCCGGGAGCGGGCCAGTAAGTTGTGTGGGCTAGGGCAGCTGTCAGGGTCCCATTCCACCCAGCACAGGACCCAGGGCAGAGCCCATTTTGGGGGTAGTGTGGCCCAATCTGGGCCCTGAGGGGCTGGGGATTCCCAAGTTTGGGGGTGCTCCAGATTGGGGAATCCCAGGGTTTGTGGGGACCCTAGTATATGGTATGGACTGATGTCTGAGGGTGATAGGTTGGCATGCCCTGATCCCTCCCTGCACCCCAGTCTTGGGGCTCCCCAACAGCGTGGAGGAGATGTGCCCTGACATCCCGGTGCTGGAGCGGCTCATGGCAGACATCGGGGGGCTGGCCGAGTCAGGGGCCCGCTACACAGAGATGCCACATGTCATTGAGATCACGTTGCCCATGCTGTGCAGCTACCTGCCCCGCTGGTGGGAACGTGGGCCTGAGGTGCCCCCACCCGCCCTGCCTGCTGGGGTCCCCCCACCCTGTACAGCTGTCACCTCTGACCACCTCAACTCCCTGTTGGGGAATATCCTTCGAATCATCGTCAACAACCTGGGCATTGACGAGGCCTCGTGGATGAAGCGGCTTGCTGGTGGGTCTGGGGGCGTAAAGCTTTGGAGGGCTGGGGCCCCTTGATCTAATGGTCTGTTGGGGAGATCCCGGGGTCCATGGTCTCCTGGGAGTTGGGAGGAGTCAGAGTCTAGGTTTTCTCAGGATTAAAGGTCAAGGGTCATCACAAGGGGTCAGTATCTCAGGTTCAGAGAGTCTGGGCTGGATGGATGGGTCCGGGGAATCCTCCAGGCTGGATTCTAAATTTCTGTAGCCTTGGAGGGGATTAGGTCAGGGTTTAGGAGCTGGGTCAGAAGCCTGAGTTCCTTATGCAAATTGTCAGAGGATGAGGTCCGTGATAAGAATGGGGTTATAGGTCAGAGGTCAAGAAATTAATCTTTAAAGGGTTGGGATTTCTGGTTTGGAAGTTCCGTGTCAAAAGTTGGGTCAAACTAGAGATGGGGGCTGGAATCGGAGGCCAGGATCAGAGCCAAAGGCTGGGGTAAGAAGCCATAAGTCAGAAATCATGTAGTGAGGAAGAGTCTGGGAAAGGACCAGGTCAGAAGTTAAAGACTAGGGTGAGAGGTTACAGGCTAGGGTAAGATATCAGCTAAAGATTCAGTTGGGGTCAGAGGTCAAAAACATGTGTTAGGCTGGGATCATAGGTTAAGGTTAGGGGTTATGGTTGGGATCAGGGTTCAGGGGCGATGTTAGAGGTCAGGGCCCAAGGTCAGGTGTGGGATTAGAGATAGATGCTGGGGTCAGAGGCCAGAGTCAGGCTGGGGTCAATGATAGCTGCTGGGTCAGAGGAATCATGGGATGGAAACAGAGGTCAGAGATGGGATCAGAGGTCAAATGCTGGAGTTAGAGGCCAGCCAGCTATGAGTGTCCCCCACTTTGCTCCTGCAGTGTTTGCCCAGCCCATCGTGAGCCGGGCTAGACCAGAGCTCCTGCACTCACACTTTATCCCGACCATTGGGCGGCTGCGCAAGCGGGCGGGGAAGGTGGTGGCCGAGGAGGAGCAGCTGCGCCTGGAGGCCAAGGCAGAAGCTGAGGAGGGTGAGCTCCTGGTGCGGGACGAGTTCTCTGTGCTCTGCCGGGACCTGTATGCCCTCTATCCTCTACTCATCCGCTACGTGGACAACAACAGGTCAGCATGTCCCCAACCATCCCCTACATGCCCTAGCCTGACCTCTGGCTTCCCGGAACCCCATCTGGCCCTTCACCTTCTGACTTGCTATAAACTTCTTGCAATTCTCACTCAACCTTCCGACTCCAACCCCATTGCCTCTGGCTCAACAAAATCCAACCCACTGGATTTGCTCCCTCCTGCCCCTCTGTACCTCCTAAACCTGAGCCCCTGTACAGTTGCAACATCAGCCATAAGGAGCCCTGCTTTACCCTCCAGCACTGGGCCTCCAGGCTTGGGTAGATGAGCTAGCTGTCTGATATTTGTGCAGTGAAGCCCAATCATCACGCCTTCCTCTGTCATTGGGAGAAGAAAGGAAGAGTCCAGATGTTGCCAGTCTCATTTTCCCCAGAAACATAGAGCTTTAATAAAATTGCTAACATCTCCCTAAAATCAGAAACTGTTTAAAGAATTATTAACTCCTAGGTGGAGCCTAATCCAGGGATAGTAAATGAATTTCAACTCCACTACCATCCGGGTTGGAAAATCTTTTAAGGTTGCACAGGGCTTTGTGAGAAAGCCCTGTCTGTTGTGGAAGCAGAAAGGGATGTGGTGGTGTGTGCGCTGGATACATCTTTGCACACCCATCTCTCTCCTCACCAGTGGGTATTACTACGGGGTAGATTCCTAGGAGTGGGAGTGTTGGGTCGAAGAGTTGTGTGTTGCGACTTTGTTCATTTGCATTAACATGGATAAATCTCACAAACATCAGGCTGAATAAAAAAAGCCAGGAAAATAAAAAACAGTACACTTCATATCACTTACTTATGTAACGTTCAAGAACAGACAAAAATAATTCATGGTCTGTAAGTCAAGATAAGGGTCATTTTTCAAGAGGAAGGAAGTAGGTGTGGCTTCGAGGGACACAAGGGTAGTTCTGGGGACTGGAAATGTTCTATTTCTTGACTTGAGTGGTGGTTACACAAGTGTGTTCACTTTGTGATAATTCATCAAGCTGACACTTTATATGTACGTTATATTTCAATAAAAAGGTTAAGAGCCCTAACCAGTTTGGCTCAGTGGCTACAGCATCAGCCCATGGACTGAAGGGTTCCGGGTTCGATTCTGGCGAAGGTCACATACCTTGGTTGCAGGCTTGATCCCCAGCCCAGCTGTGGCGGGTGTGGGAGGCAACCAATAGATGTGTCTCTCTCACATCAATGTTTCTCCTTCTCTCTCCCTCTCTCCCTTCCACTCTCTCTGAAAAGCAATGGAAAAAATATCCTCAGCTGAGGATTAAAAAAAAAGTTAGAGAAAGAAAAAAGTTTGTAAAGCAATGGTCATTTAACAATTTTAAATTATCTGAATGGCCAGCCAGATTACCTAGAAAACTCCACCCCTTCCTTTGGAGTCTCCTGGTCCCCCTGATCCCCTCCCCTGAGATCCTCTGTGTGGAGCCCTCTCCTGGGTGTCCCACCCCACCCCTCACCTGCCCTTTCCCTGATGCCCAGGGCGCACTGGCTGACGGAGCCCAACCCCAGCGCTGAGGAGCTGTTCAGGATGGTGGGCGAGATCTTCATCTACTGGTGCAAGTCCCATGTGAGTCCCTGCTCACTCCACCCTCCCCTCATACCTGAGAAGCTGCTGCCCCGAGGTGCCCTCCCCCCACCCTGTCTGACCCCTAGTACTACCTCTGCCACCAGAACTTTAAGCGTGAGGAGCAGAACTTCGTGGTCCAGAATGAGATCAACAACATGTCTTTTCTGACTGCTGACAACAAGAGCAAAATGGCCAAGGTGGGAGCTTTGCTCTGGGAAGTGGCCTTAGCAGGGAGGGAGGGAACACCCCCCAGGCTTCCTACCGGCCCCCTCCTCATCCGGCTGGCTGCCCAGTCCTGGGTCCTGGTCACATTCCCTGCAGCCCTCACAGCTTGGTCCTCTCTCATCTTGCATTTCCTTCCTCTTATCCCCAGGATCCCATGTCCCTCTGTCCTCTCCCCCATACTTCTCAGAACCGCCCTCTAGAGGGTTCTAAAGAACAAACAGGCCCACCCTGATGGAGGTCTGGGAGGGCCCTACTAGGGGATGCACGTTGGTGGGGCAGAGGAGCTTGGGTCGGGCCAACTTGGAGTTAGGCCCGGGGTTGTCTGAGGGACTGGGGTAACCCTTCTTGTCTCTGTCTGCCACCTGATGAAGCAGGCGGGAGATGTACAGGTCAGCCCCTCGTCTGGAACCTTCTGCATGGCTCTTGGCTAATACCCTCTTCCCCACAAACCCCAATCCCTGCACCCCCTCCAGAAAA